CGACCAAAGGTTGCCTGGAAAAGACCGCTTTCAGCGATAAGGTCGCCCATTGTTTTCTTACTGTTCTTTCTTGTACTTATTTATATTTATAATAAGTTTACTATTGTAATCTTTAGGACGAAACAATAAAGAGTATCTATTTATCTATATAATTTAATTACAAATTAAAACACAATATATGAATAAAAATACAGTAATATTTATTCTTTAAAAAAAAAAACCTATTTTTAAAAAGTCACTTATCGATTACAGAGAGAGTACGCGACAAAAGTCATGTTCAAAAACCAGTGATATCTGAATTAATACGTAATGTATGATAAGATAATGATTTTGCAATACCACGCAGCCGCAACAGATTGACTTATCTATTGTGAAAGGCTCAAAAGTAATTTAAACAAATACCTACTATTGAGTAGGCACCTATCATATAGCACAATTTAAATGAATCAATGCTCGTAGTGATAGCAGAATACTAATCATCATCATCATCATATACCAGAGGGAGACTTTGTACAAAAGTCGTTTGCTTGGGCACCTCTGTCCCATGCGTGTTTCTACCGTGAAGCAGTTATATTTGTATGACTGTGTTTCGGTTCGAAGTGTGCGATATGGCAGTGAATTTACAGGGTGCAAAGGAATAGCACCTGAGTCCTCAGGATTGGCAACGCATGGGGGGTATCATGAGCGAAACAGTATACTCTGTTATGTCCATGGTGCTGCTCATGTCTATAGGCGACGGTTGCCACTTTCCATCAGGTGGGCCGTCAGCTTGTTTGCCATTCTAAGTTGTATAAAATTCAAGCTATATTATGAGTCAATACATACTGAAACGGAGATAATACTTTTAATATGCAATGAGAGGATTTTAGAATGGAAAACTACAGAAAAGATGAGGAGTCAGACATTAGCAAAATATATTTAAACAATATGTAAAAACAATATGTCAAAAAAATATATAAATTGCGAATGACAATAAGAATATAAAAATGTAGCAAAGAGTTTGCTACACATACTATATATAATTAAAAAAAATAGATATCTATGAAAATTGTAATAACTGAATGTATAAAAAATTACCCCATTAAAGCTAATATAAAATACTGATTATCTTTCTATCTATCTGTGCGAAGCCAGAGCGAATTGCTAGTATATTATAGTATATTATTGTTAAAAATACTTATAGGAATACAAATAAATGTTCTTATAAATAAATATACTTGTAAACTACATGCTTGTATTGTGCTAGCATCGAGCTGGTTTCCATCTAAAGCTGATATCTCTTTGTGACTTAAATTTTCTTGGGCATAAAATTGTCTTGTTTTATGAATACTTAGTATTAATTTCATAGTTTAAAAATTTAGGAATAGATCAGTCGATTTAAAATCTTGTTTGTGTTAAAAGTGATAAATTAATAGTTTGCTAAGAGATAAAACCACACCCATAGCTTTGCCCATTGATAGCGTAGTGTAGTTTTATCGCTGTCAAGTGTCCTTACTAATGTCACAGATAATATTTGTAAGTACCTCTACTAGTACTTTGGGTATAATGGAATGGTAACCGCACCCGCTCTATCAATATACACCGGCGGGGCACCAGTAAAGGATGATAGGTGAGGATGAAGCAAGGTCAGTTAGCCCATCGTGACGAATTCAACAAGAATTGATTACGATGGTTTCCCAGGGGAATCACGTGGAGGTCGACCTAATATTGCTAGCAATAGGGCTGTGAAACTCCATTGCTAGCAATCCCTTTCCCCCACTACTAGTACTAATATTCTTAAAGTTGGTCACTAAACAAAATTAAACAAGAAATACTAGATGGCGCTGAATTCGAGACTTGTGGTTTTTGTTGGTTACTTTGTAATTAAAAATAATTACAAGTAAAATTTCTAAATTCGCCTATAATTTTTATTATTATGTATGAATTTAAAGTGATAAATAATATGCAATTGTTTTATGAATTAATTATTTGTATATGTCCTACGCAATGTTTCTTACTAGTATGTGTTTATTCATAAAGTTGTATAATACAAGAGAATAAAGATAAAAAATATAATAAATTATTACTATATTGGTAAAAAATAAATAAAAGCACTAGCTAGAAAATTTGCCTTAAATTATCTTTAATTTTAAAATAACAAAAGTATTGATTTTAGCACCATCTAATATTTCGTGTCCAATTTTGTATTTGTTTTTTAATGCATGACGATGGAATGGTAATTATATGGTAAAAATAATAATGGTAAGGAATGTTAAGTGAGAATTAAAAGGCAGATCAGTTAGCATGGCCGTCCATCAATGGCCAACTACCTTAATGTGAACGTTATTTTTCTACAACTGCTTTGTTGTGCCATATTGAATTACACAATAGAAAAGTATATAATAATATGTAGATATATAAGCCACTTGTTATCCTAGTCACGCGAACAAATTATGAATGTGAAAGTGAGTATATGTTTGTTTATTGACTTCCTCTTAACGGCTTACGGCTTAGTCACGAGCTTAGCTGCTCAAAGGGATTATCACGAAGTGACAATTAGCATACTTCGAAATGCTTCAAATTGAGTTAATTTATTTCTATTTATTCTTATCTCTTTAATGGACACATGTTTTTCTTTCAATCGATTTGTTCAATCGAACAAATATTTCATAAGTACTTAAACCTACTCGAGTCGACCGAATTTCGTGTCAGCTGGACGCAGCTCGAAAGTCATTGCAGTGCGCGGCGGTGCGTTGACCCCGCGACTGGTGAAGCGGTGACTCACGAAAGCTCCTATTACGGCAGACAGCTGTCGATACGGCTCGGCGACTTATCGAGATGGAATACATTTTAACTTGCGTCATTTTTTGACTAATTAGCAAATTTCGGACGTGCCTGATCAATATTAATAGCCGATAAATAAAGATTCTCCATCTGTATTTTTAACAAACTTCAAAAAACGAAAAAGTTCCCAATTCGATTATATTCTTTATGTTTGTTACCTCATAACTCCGTCATTTATAAACCAATTTGGAAAATTATTTTTCACTGCTGAACAGAGGCTTCCTCCTATTGAGAGGTTTTACCAGTGATTAGCACGCTTGGTAAGAGGGTAGGATAAAGAGATGGATTACCTGCCAATAATACAGATCATGATAAGCCAGCCACGTGCTGTGTTGCTACTTTAACTCAAATATACACACCCAATAATAAATACAGTGAACGCTCTATATAAGCTACTCATTTGAACCAATTTCAATAAAATAAAAAAATCTTATTGGGAAAAGTTATAGAAAAAAAAGAAGTATAAAAATACTTACCGTCCGGAAAATATTTTTACTTATTTCTTTAACTAACTAAGCTGAGTAGAATAAATATAATATAAAGAACATTGCTTATAGAGAGGTTGCTTATATAAAGCGTTCACTGTACTTACATCTCATTTACTCGTCATCGAGATACCCTACGCTCGCATAAAATCGCAAAATATATCAAAAGAGGACCTAATATTTCTCCATCTCGAAAAAATGGAATTCACAATATATGTAGTTGATGTCATCAAGCGAATTCGGCGTAAACACACGGTCGGAAATATCGAATTTAAATAAACGTACGAACTTGTTTTGCCAAACAGCTTGGCGTCCTTCCTGTTTTAAAACTACTACTACAAAAAAATAACTGTAAATAACATCAAGTTACCATAAATAATCACTGACCATAGTTGTAAAACAATTTTTTATGCAACTTAGAATGACAAACGTGCGGACGGCTTACCTAATGGAAAGTACTCGAAGTAACCGTTGCCTATATAGGGAGGAAGGGATTGTTAGTAGTGGGGAGATTAGTCCCCATCGCTATCAATATACCCTATCAGGTTGAACTCCACGCGGTTCCCCCTGGAAACCATGGTGACTAATTTATCGTTGAATTCGTCACGATGGGCCAACTGACCTGCCTTTTCATCCTCACCAATCATCCCTCACTGGTACCCTGCCAGTGTATACCGATAGCGCCGGCGGGGTTACCATTACATTATCATCCATTAAAAAAAAATAAAAAAAAAACCGTTGCCTATAGACATGAACAATACTATGGACATAACAGGGTATACTGTGCCGTCTATGATAATGAGGACTATGATATTGTGTGTATACCTCTATTTAATTTTTTTTTATTTAACCAACTTTATAGTACCTATCATACAATATTTTCTACTGATAAGCATCCACGGTACTTTTCATCTTCATTAATGACGTTTATTAATTTCAATTTGGTGTGTCGGCCTCTACAGGATCCTTCCCGGCAATCATCATGGTTAAAGCCTGATAAATTTATCATGATGGGTCATCTGACCTGACTTCATCGTCACATGTCATCCCATATTGATGCCCCACCAGAATATTCCGTTCATCGTTACCTATCTTCTCTCATCAATGCCCCACCAACATATACGGATAAAGAAAACAGCGTCACCATTCCATTTTCATCTCATATAAGATTGTGTTCCACAGAAAATCTACTGCAATTGTGGAAAATTTTCCATAATGTCATAGTTCAATAGGTTTTTTTTATTGGATGAAAATGGAATGGTAACCTCGCCTGCGCTAACGGGATACGCTGGCGGGCCACCAGTGAAAGGTGATCGATGAGGATGAAAATAGGCCAGTTAGCCCATCATGATGAATTCATCTGGAATTAACCATGATAGTTTCCAGGGGGAACCGCGAGGACGTCGACCTGGTTGGGTATATTGCTAGCAAAGGGATTCTCAGTCTCCATTACTAACAATCCCTTTCCCCCCTAGTTCAATAGGTTAGTTTTTAAATCTAAATAACTAGATAGGTTTTTTTTTTAAAACTAAACTATTGAACCGCTTTTCATAAAACTTCTTTACGACCAATCTGAACGTAAAGTTTTCTAAAAGTAAAACTTTCAGTAAAAAAAATTATTTCACAACAAACATAAGATAAAATACAACCGAATTGAATCCTTCTTTTTAAAGTCGGTTGAAAATAGAATACCTTGATATCTAATGTCAGACTGCATCGGAATAGGCATGCGGCCTGCGGCCGTGGGTGTCACATGTCTGCGCCTGCGCCGGCCAGTGGCCACCCACAAACCGCTGCGCGGCCGTCGACGCGACGCCGCTGCAGTGTCCTTCATTTATTGGAGGATTTCACTGAAATGAGCATTTATTCCATCTCTTTATCAGTTTTTTGAATATAGCAAATGGTTCCACTGCAATTTTTATGCGATTCTAAAAAGGGAATTTATCCATCGTTCTAAATCGATTTTGATAATTCTTTTTGCATTTGCAATCGATGTGCTTTATTTCAGAGTTGATCCCGTATATAATCTGTGACTGTCAAATTGTACTTTTTCTTAAAGAAAAAACAGTTAATTTATCATATCAACTGTTAACTAACCACTGCTGAATAAAAGACTTCCCCAGTCTTTTATTTAAGTTTTGCCAGTAGTTACGTTGAGTTGGCAACCGCAGTTAGACTTCAGTGATATTTTTTTTATCTTTTTTATTTAGAGGCTTTTATCCTATAAGGATATGTCAGTCTCATCATATCCTAATTTTATAAAATACCTCACATACTTAAAACATTGATACATAAATAAATAATTCATAATATGTTAGTAGTCTATTTTCATAAAGGGAATTATTGATACAAAAATATAGTAATTAAAGATTTTGCCATTCCGGAATGTGGTTCTGCGAGTATATTTGAAAATAAACCAATCTCCTGTCTATTGAGACTATATTTCTGTATCAATACTTCCATTTGTGTTTTGTATTACGTACATTCAGATATCATATGATGATAGACTTTAGTGATATTTTAAGAGGGACGCTGCTGCCCATTCCTCGACTATTAAGTTCCCTTAGTCGGTTCTTACGACACCCATGGGAAAGGAAGGGGTGCCCGATTCTATGTTGAGACGACACGGCTACAGTTGCTTATCATGAAGTAAATTATTTGTAGATATAAAAGTTTGTTTTTTAAACTCAAATATTTTCTGTCTAATGTATCTACAACGTGCAGATTTTACTCTATAAAAAAAAATGGTGGTAAAACCAGTTATTTTGATTTAAAAACTAAATTACTAAACCAATTTTGATGAAATTTCTATGGGACCAATTTGGAAGTTTCAAATTTTCCAAATCGATTTATAAATACTTAGTACTTAGGTAATAAACGTGAAAAAAAAACAGAATCGAATTGAGAACTTCCATCTTTATTGAAGTCGGTTAATAAGGCCCGTCATTCATCGGTGTTTAGTAACGACTGAAGTTGTTATTTTTTGCGAAACAAAATGTACTTCGTTATAGTTTAATTCTTATCACGTGATATTATTTTATCAACAGCGATGTCCGGTAAGCATAGTTCAACAATTCATTAAAATGTAAATACTAATTTAGCCTAATTTTTATTCACAAAACAAAATATTACCTCGAACTTTTATTTTCATTCATAAACTGAAACAAACACTAATGGGCGGTCGTATGGCAGTATAAACACACATTATACGTAAAGACAGTCCATTTGTTCGACCGTGCTACTGTAACTGGTAAACTAAATGACTTACAATTATGTCTTTTCATATTATATGTAACAAACATACTTTTGAGATAAAAACATATAACTGTACTTGTGACTAAAAATACGACTGATTACAATGTATTTATAGAAATATTTTTTTTTCTTTATCTATTTACATCAACCTACATAGATATAAGATAAACCGTGTGCTAACAAAAAGAGGAGTTTTGTTTTTAATAAATGATAAATGGAATGATAACCGTCTCCGCTATTAGCGCTATTGGCTATACTGGCGGGGTACCAGTGAGGGATGATAAGTGAGGATGCAAAGGCGAGTCAGTTAGCTCATCGTGACGAGTTAATGATAAGTCACGATGGTTTCCAGAGGAACCGCGTGGAGGTCCACCTGATATTGATAGCACTGGGGACTAATCTCCCCATTACTAACAATCCCTCCCTTCCCCTACTAAAAGAGGAGTGAAGACTCCTCAAAACTAGCATGTTCGCTTGAAATGAGTTTAGAAGGTGGACAAAGATAGAGATGTATGTATGGATAGATATTATGTAGGGTAGCCTACTGTACTCTCTGCCTATCCCGTAAGGGGTTTCCATGAAAGCAAATAATTAGGAATTACTCAGATATATAAATACATATGGTATGTGTGTGTGTGAGTGTGAGTGTGTTCGTGTACGTGTGCGTGTGCGTGTGTGTGTGTGCGTGTGCGTGTGCGTGTGCGTGTGCGTGTGCGTGTGCGTGTGCGTGTGCGTGTGCGTGTGTGTGTGTGTGTGTGTGTGTGTGTGTGTGTGTGTATGTGTAACAGGAATTATATGATCTTACTATGAATTACTATAGAATAGAAATAATCTTTCTATAGATAGCTTTTAAATCGTAAGTTTTTTATGATTGTACAGCTAGGTTCGGGATGTTGTTATCCACTGAGAAGAACCCGCAAAAAACTTAACAGTTACTCTTTTCAAATTATTATATACAAGATAATTTTACATTTATTACATACTATAATTAGATTGAGTTCTATTTATACAATATGTATATTATATTTATCCTTCTTTATTTGTTGCAGAACTAACCAGTGAAGATTCCAATGTGGTGCTACGGAATTTATTGAGTCAGACACAAAGGAAAAATATATAATGTAATTCAATAACAAAAATAAATAGTGCGAATACATTAATAATATTTCTTACTAATATATATTGAGTTCTAAAATAAATAATAATCATAATATAATTTATTTGCTCAAATATGGGTTATTACAGATGTTACATTAATAGGTTATTACGCCTCTATATTTTACCATAAATGGCGTGCAAATCTTCTCTTAATATAAATATTACTATATTTCATATATCACTATGTCTTCATTATTATAGATTACAGAAAAAAAAAGAAAACCACTACATCAAAATTTGTCTTATTTCTTGTCTCATGGGAATACAACGCAGTCATTTATCGTTTGTTTAATTTTTAAAACTATCTGTCATATATTCATTTAGAGTGCAGTATGCTTTGTCAATTAGTAATTTCTTTAGTTCCTTCTTAAATAGATGCAAATGATTAATGTCTTTTATATATTGGGGCAATTTATTGTATACTTTCAGACCCATGCAAAATATACTATTATTGTATACTGTTGTGTTACACTTTGTGACTCTAATAATATGACAATGTCATAAAGGTACACAATAAGGACAATACTCTCAAAGTATATTTATCCCCCCCCCCCCTGCCCCCTCATCCCTTATAGGAGATACATATGATCAGCAGTAGACGATCAACGACTGATATGATGATTTTTTTATGGGTGAAAATGGTATGGTAACCCCGCCTGCGCTAACAGGATACGCTGGCGGAGCACCAGTGAAGAGTGATAGATGAAAATGAAAACAGGTCAGTTAGCCCATCATGATGAATTCATCAGGAATTAGCCATGATAGTATCCAGGGAGAACCGCGAAGAGGTCGACCTGGTTGAGTATATTGCTAGCAATGGGATTCTCAGTCTCCATTACTAACAATCCCTTTCCCCCCCCCCCTAGTTCAATAGTTTAGTATTTAAATCTAAATAACTAGATAGTTTTTTTTTTTATTTAAAAACTAAACTATTGAACCGATTTTCATAAAACTTCTTTACGACCAATCTGAACGTAAAGTTTTCTAAAAGTAAAACTTTCAGTAAAAAAAATTATTTCACAACAAACATAAGATAAAATACAACCGAATTGATGATCCCCCCCATGATGATGATTTGTACTTTATAAATATGTAATAAATAAATTATACACATAAAATGTATTTAACATATAAAATGTTTACTGTCTTCATAAGACTAACCAAAAAATATGTCATATATCTACAATTAAATATGAATTAGCTATTCACGAAATACAAACAAAATCTAAAGATTTTGAATAAATCCAGTTCGATAGAATCGTTTTAATATGAACCATCGCAAAATAAAAAAAAAATTGCTAAAATTATAGACAAGAAATAAAACCACATAGTGTATTGATGCAGACTTAATGGTCCCATTATCATGGCAATCATATTTCAATTGAAACGTAATGTCATCTGCGTTGTTACAGATTAATGTTGTAGTCACAGAAAGAAAATCTGAAAATTGTAGAATATCTGCAGATTTTTTTTTATAAAAACAATTGGAGATACTGTACCAATCTTGATGGTTTGTTTATGGACAGTTGCAGGTTAATGCTAAAATAACAAAGAACGTTATGATGTGGTGTGAGTAATTATTTAATTAAGAATAAAAAGTTATGGATGCCGTTACAAGCTAAATCTTTTTGTGTGTCGCCACGCACAAAATGAAAAAAATAATATTTATATGTCAAATTGACAGTCGCAAAATAAAGTTTATGTTTCTAACATATTTGTTGGTAAACAAACTAGTAGCTCTCCTGATAACAAGTGCTAAATATTAAATGACATGAAACAACATAGCTATAATACACCTATCGTGCTGGTCACAAACCTCTCCTAAGCAATACTTCTGAGGATAGACCCTGAGCTAAAAATCCTCCAAATTTAGAAGAATATTTAGCTTCAAATTTCTTTTAATAATTTTTCAAAAATCTATTTTTAACTACATCAAAGAAATATTCTCAATTCGACATCTACCACTTCGTGCTGGTTATTTTTGTAAACGAAGAAGTTTACTCAAAACACCTTATACTAAATTTGTAAGTTTGTAGTTTTTTCCAAAATCTTAAATTCCTTCCTGAAACGTTAAATCTCTCCCTAAACTCCCTATCATTTCCTTTCGTTCAGCAAAAGAATAAAAAAAAAACAATCATCAAGTTACAGTAACGTAATGACTGGAGAAACAGGCGCGGCCGGATATTGCTCGTGTTATATGCGCATATCGAGCCTTTTCAGGAAGAACATCGTAACCGCCATTTTGCATATTTTACAGGAGAAGGTTTTTTTTAAATATTTCTCAAAATATTTATAGCATCAATTTGAAATTTCTACTAAGTGTTATGTGGGCACCTCCCTATTAATTCAAATATTAAGATTTGTCTCACTACTCTAAAATCACATACATTTGTCGCTTACGTTAAAACTGATGACTGTTATTAGGTAGAGATGATATGAGTATGTCGATTACGATAATTCCTAAATAGCATGAAATAATAGAAATAATTTTTTGTGAAGTTTTTTTTAACTATATTTACGAGATACGGTAACAGACAGAGACGGACAAAGTGTCAGAAGTACGAAAAAAGTAAAAAAAAAATTAATCATTAATCACTTCTAAGTGAATTGGCTTTATTAACAAAATGAAATACCAAAAAAGACATAACTCAGTCGTCGTTTTTATTAGTCTCGTTCTCTTGTGTTTTTATCGTAGGGCAAATCCAGATATTCTTTTGCATATACTTCTGGTATGACACCTTTTTAGCACATTTTCTTTAAATCTTCGTATTTTGCCTTCGAAATGGGATTTTTTCAGTGTTAGCAGTATTCGGTTCACGAATGACTTGTTGATTGAACATCAACATCTTGTTCGGGTCCATTATAGTCGTATTTAAGATAGAATTTTTCGCCTTTATCAAATCTAGCGTTACGCAGCTTGCTTATATGTATTTTAATTTTGTTTGGTAATAAGGCTGTTGCATAGGAATTCCAGTCTTTAATTTCAATATTTTTTAAAAGAATTGTCTCATATTTTTTGGATTAGTCTGAGCATTTCCAATCAAAGTTTGCCATTCAGATGGTGCCTTAATGGTTCTTTTCTGTACAAATTCTTCTATTGTCGCATGCACAGAATCTACTGACATATCGTATGCAGAAATAAGAAAGTTTATAGTCAGCTTTTCAACAAAACTCGCATGATATTGCATGAAATAATACAGCATTAAAATCATGGTTTTATTTTTATTTTGTCCTGCACAACTATCACAGTATAATGTAATTTCATTTTGAGTCCTTCTCTCGTCAACCATTTTAAGGTATATAAAGATAACAGTACAGATTTAATTTCTTCTTTTCGCTTTCGTTTCATTCCAAAGATAACAAAATGCAGATCTGGTACCGCTTTCATAAATGCTTTCATTATAATAGGCAAGCTTTTGAGTATAGTAGAAATTTACACTTTGACTGTGAGGTGTTGTAAGACCTTTTCGAGATCAAAGCTCGCACATAAAGTTTCTGTTGTCTGCTTATTTTTTTAATATCTAGAAATAGCTTTAATGATCTTCCTTTGTCCTTAATGTGATTCTTGTAAGCAACTGATATTATCGTTTTTTCTTTCTTCATCATTCAAATTCTTTATTCTCTCACATTGACCACATTTATCTTTCTTTGGTAAGTGAAACCCTAAGTTAAATTCAGTTTTAAATATTTTTTTAAACTTTTGATAACTTACTGCACCTAAATCTTTCGTTTCATCATCTTTCAAGTAACAGTTTCTATATAAATAAGTCACATCCCTAAATTCAGTTGGTAAGCACAATTTATTACTATTGTTTCTACAATAGTGTGATTGCCCGACAGGCAACTTTTTTTATAAATTTATTTACGTTTTGAGTTTGAGATTGACTGTATTTATTTGAA